AAGCAATGTAAACGTCATGTACTGCAAACATGTACTAAGAAAAGGGAAAGGAACCAAAAGATGAGTGGAAGGGAGAGAAAAGGAAGTACAGGAGGGAACAAAGGTGTAGTGTACACACATACCAACTCCGCACCAGCAGCGTAAACTTCATGTATCGCAAACCTGGATAAATAAATAAATAACACCACAAACTAGACACAGAAGGAACCTTCCTGGACACAACACAGAGCACACGTGACAAGCCTGCCCTAACACCACTCACCAGCGGACAGGCGAAGGCTTTCCTTCTAGGATCAAGGGCAAAGCCCTCTCACCCTTTTCAATAGAACGCTGAACGTCTTAACCAAAACAATCAGGCAAAAAAGGAAAAGCTACAAGGCATCTGAATTGGAAAAATAAGAAATTGTCCATTTCTTAATGGCATGGTCTGATGTATAGAAAATCACAAATTCACCAGAAAAATCCAGAGAAATGATAAATGAATATTAGATTTCAGTATACAAATTCAACACATAGAAGTCAGTAGGATTTCTATGCACTAACAATAAACTATCTGAAAGACATTTTTAAAAAATCTCCTCCACAACAGCATTCAAGAAATTAAAAGATCTGTATTCTGAAACCCATACAAACAAAAATTAAAAGATATCCTATGTTCACACACTAGAAAAACTAATATTGCTAAAGTGTTCACGCCACTCAAAAAGACATACAACTCAAAAGTAGTCCCTGTCAAAATTCCAATAGCCCTTCATCAAAAAAGTCCTAAAATTTGAAGGGCACCATAAGAGCTAAAACAGTCACACAATCTTGGGGGGCACGAATTTGGAGGCACTGCCCTATAGGATTAAAAAATATAAAATTATGGTCATTAAAATATAGTAATGGAGGGCCGGAGAGCTAGCTCAGTGGGCTAACTGCCTGCTTAAACAAGCACAGGGACTGGGGTTCAAACCCCAGCGTCACATGGCACACGGCACACTGAGCCAGGGACCAAGACTGGGTGTGGCAACGCATGCCTGTAATCAAAGGACTAGGGAGGCTGACAACAGTAGGATCACTATGAGTCTGAGCTATATAGTGAAACCCTGCACCAAATACATTAAACATATAAGTAATGGAAGGCCATGGAGACAGCTCATGGCTTAAGCACCTGCCTGGCAAGTGCGAGGTACTGAGTTTGATACCTGGTACCAGAAAAAAATTATATATATACATATATAAAAAAAAAAAAAAAAGAGCTCAAGGGCAGCCAGGGAGATAGCTCAGTGGCTAAGCACCTGCCTGGTAAGTGGAGTGTCCTGAGTTTGATACCTGGTACCAGAAAAAAATAAGCTCAAGTGAACAAAGAAATGATTACAAAACACTGGCATCATTTTGGATTCCCCACGAAGTAGGCATCCGGAGGGAACCAAGGGCCACAACGAAATCAGAAGTACACGAGATCTCCTGGAAGGACACCTCTGTGAATTGGAACAAAGGAACAGCAGGAATTGGAGAAATCCTTCAGACCAGTTCCAGCTGCGACATCCATGAAAGGGGAAGGAGAGGAAGTAGACTTGCAAGAAGAGC